ATGGCGAGGCTATTCCGCCTTTCAATTTGTGCAGAAGACGGCTGAGAGAAGTTCTAACTGTCAGAGACATCACCGAAGGGGTCCTTATTAGTGAATGATCATAGAAGATGTTGGGTATACAGCTAAGAACAGCACCAAGGCCTACGAATGCCATCGATACCCTCTACCTCCAAAGTCTTTCCCAGTGCGGAAGCGAATGGATCACAGCTGTGTGAGACCTTTTTTCAGGGCAATCTTTCTAGACACTCATTGCGCCATCTACGGCCCAATTGGCTCAACTCATGCTTGACGAATCGGCCAAGCAAAAAGACTAATTCCAACATCTGGGGCAAATCAAAGAAGGCGCTTGGGAATGAGCTACGAACAAAATGGGAACGCATGGATCTTGTTATTCTGTTTATCAACGCCTTAACAGCTCAATGTCCCGAAAGTATAAAACTGTAAACAACATACACCATCTAATCTACGGATAGAAACTGTTTTGCGGTCTATAGCAACGTGTAATCCAACTAGAAGTTAGTAGTTCTTCGATTAAATTTTTTCCAGGCCATAATCCGTCTTTCGACGAGTCCTTTCAATTCCAAGTATCCGTGCCTGAGTTAGCGCTCGTACGATTTTTGGTACTCGATGATGATTTTATCGGTAAGTTCGAGTAATTTCGACATCAGCCCGGGTAGATTCCCATGCCTGAAGGGATTGCATAAAGTACAACCCTAAATTTGCTGCTCTTTTTCAGGTGATGACTTTATTGGACAGTATACGATCCCATTCGAATGCCTACAACCTGGTAAGGGAATATTACCAAGATTTAAAATTTTCTTTAGAATCATACTTCGTGGAAACTGAAAGGTGATAATATTAAGTACCGACCACCTGGAAAACTCCAATGTCGAGATAGTTAAGTTCAGTGAGGGTTCCATACAGTGGCCAATGAAAAACATTAACGTCCATGTGAGAGATGTGACAAATCATGTCCTTTATTTTTAACAATTCAGTCTATGTACATTACGAGGCCCTTCCCCATCTGGGTTAATATATTAGGGAGATTCTCTCTGAAACGTGGGAGCAGAGCTGGGCCCGCTTGCGGAATTTGGTAATGAAATTAGCAAGCGTCTGGCAAAGTCAATCAGAGCGGAAACAACAACGGCCCCCAATGGGACTCAGCAAAACGTGCCGATCTTTATAAACCCTAGAGTAACAAATGCGGAAGTAAAGTACTGAGAGCGCAGGGAGCGTTACTAGCTGAGGAGCAATGAAAGCTGCCCGAAGTCAAGAAGTGTTATTTAATTCTAATCGATCAAAGTATGGGAGAGAAAGGCCTTAACAGCAGTAACAAGCTTTCTCATAAGTCTTGCGCTGGAACGGTACGGATCCTTCTATTCTGTTCTCTGTTTTCAGTGTTTCAAACATATCCTAGTACAAACTGGTAGTGGACACTTAATTGATGGGCGTGGCTTATAAAATGGGTGGGGTTTCGGGGTAGGAGGAGCTTCCCACACCTTAATTTGTGAACAAGAAATATTCCAAGTTAAAACCTTGCCCATCAGGACCAGCCCGAACGAATCAGCCTGACAACGACCTAATCACCTGATTGTGCTTGCTTCCAGTTGAAGCCTTCTCTGCTTCCAGTTGTTCCCTCAAGTCTGATTATTGCCATAGCAGCAAGCATTACCGAGCTTTCCAGGTGTTTGTTGTGTCTCGGCCAGAATTGATGAATGGGTCAGCTCCCAAACTAAATGGGAGGATGTAAGTGGTACAGGAAACCACCGAGGAATTAATGAAGCTGAAGATCATCAATCGCGATGTTTCCTGTTCCTGTCATAAACACATGCTCTACCCGAGTAAATAAAATATGCACTTGTTCGGCACAAGGTCGAAAAACAATGCCGAAAGATTTGAGAACTCATGCAAGTGGAAATGTTGGGTTCACTGATCAAAAACCACGAGAAATGCCCATGTTCCAAGACGTCAAAGATCCACTGGTTCAAGCTTGTGAAGCGTGCCGGCATTCGAGCAGCCCTCGTCACCTAATGGATCCCACGGGAAAGCAAATGACTACTGATGACCGTCGGTCCAATGATTAAAACATGTTTAGGAGAAACAAATCCGACAGATTCCCTTTACCCTACTC